GGAGGAGGAGGAGGAGGCGGAGGAGCTGGAGGAGGAGGGGAAGAAGACGGGGAGGAAGAGGAACAGCATCATCACCATGCGTAGGAGGAGGAGTGACTGACTGGTGTTTGTTTGTTTGTTTGTTTGTTTGTTTGTTTGTTTGTGTGTGTGTGTGTGTGTGTGTGTGTGTGTGTGTGTGTGTGTGTGTGTGTGTGTGTGTGTAAGGGAACCGTCCAGCCTGGTGCAGAAAGTGGCCGTGTGTTTTGGGGTATGCTAGCAGCCCGTAGCAGCGCGGATTCAGGCACGTGGAGTCGACGGCCACAGTCTTGAGATGACTGCTCGCACGGGGGAGGAGACCCTCCATTTTTCTTGTCGCATGTCTATGCATAATGATGTGACCCTCGTCTTCTTGCCGCTGTGCTATGTCTTGTCTTCATCAGGCTCCTATTTCCGCACACTCTTGCATATACAGCAGCATGCTTGCACGCCTTTGGATCATTTCGCCTGGCTTGCCTATCTGATGAACGAAGCGCGACTAATCGGATCTTATCGTAGCTAAGCCTACTCTAGACGCTTCGCGTAACCTCACCGGCTCATCCAGAAACGATGCCCAGGTGGGACCTGATCAGGAATGTGGAGGAGCATGCAGTGTAAAAAAGGGCACGGGAAGCCGGCATACCCCGAGACGGGGAGGATGGAGGAGGAATCGGAGGGAGGAGGAGGAATAGGCGGATGGGGACGAGGATGAGGATGAGGATGAGGATGAGGATGATGATGAGGAGGAGGAGGCGGAGGAGGAAGAAGAGGAGGAGGGCGAGTACAAAGGCCGGAGGACTCATGGATGTGCCTTTGGATGTCTCTTGAGTGCTTTTCGGAGTCCTCTTCGGGCGTCTTGGGTGGCTCGTGGCGGTCCCGGGGGCCTCTTAGAGCATCTTGGCTGCCTCCAGGGAGTCTTGGGGCCTCTTGAGGGTTTCTTGGGGGCCTCATGAGGGGCCCAACAAATTGATGTTATTACCTGACAGCGAAGACTGATAGGTTTCTAGTAGTGTCAAAAGAGAGCATCTCGACTCCCCAGGGGGGTCTGGGCGGGTGCCGGGGAGAACCCGCGGAAGTCGTTTGAAGCAAACTGTAGGCCATTTCGTGGTCTTCGAGTTCCCAGAATTGCATTCCTGGGCATGATTACCTAACAGGGAAGACTGATAGGTTTCTAGTAGGGTCAAAAGAAAGCATCATGACGCCCCAGGGGGGTCTGGGCGCGATCTGGGGAGATGCCGGGGATTTTTTTTAGCCAACAGTTACACACTTCGTGGTCTTCGAGGTCCCAGAACTCCATTCCAGGGCCACATTCTGAATGCCCGGAGCCAACTGTAGGCCACTTCGTGGTCTTCGAGTTCCCAGAACTCCGTTCCCGGGCCACATTTTGAATGCCCGGAGCCAATTGTAGGCCACTTCGTGCTCTTCGAGTTCCCAGAACTCCATTCCCGGTCACATTTTGAATGCCCGGAGCCAACTGTAGGCCACTTCGTGTTCTTCGAGTTCCCAGAACTCCATTCCCGGGCAACATTTTGAATGCTGAGGCAGGCTGATGCTGAGGCTGAGGCAGGCTGAGGCTCAGGCAGGCTGAGGCTGAGGCCGAGGCTGAAGGCAGACTGAGGCTGAGGCTGAGGCAGGCTGAGGCTGAGGCTGAGGCAGGCTGAGGCTCAGGCAGGCTGAGGCTGAGGCTGAGGCAGGATGAGGCTGAGGCTGAAGCAGGCTGATGCTGAGGCAGGCTGAGGCTGAGGCTGAGGCTGATGCAGGCTGAGGCTGAGGCAGGCTGAGGCTGAGGCAGGCTGAAGGCAGATTGGGGCTGAGGCTGAGGCAGGCTGAGGCTGAGGCAGAGGCAGGCAGAGGCAGGCTGAGGCAGGCTGAGGCAGGCTGATGCTGAGGCAGGCTGAGGCTGAGGCTGAGGCTGATGCAGGCTGAGGCTGAGGCAGCTGAGGCTGAGGCCGAGGCTGAAGGCAGACTGAGGAGGCTGAAGGCTGAGGCTGAGGCTGAGGCTGCAGGCTGCTGAGGCTGAGGCAGGCTGAGGCTGATGCAGGCTGAGGCTGAGGCTGAGGCCGAGGCTGAAGGCAGACTGAGCTGAGGCTGAAGCAGGCTGAGGCTGAGGCTGAGGCAGGCTGAGGCTGAGGCTGAGGCAGGCTGAGGCTGAGGCAGGCTGAGGCTGAGGCTGAGGCTGATGCAGGCTGAGGCTGAGGCAGGCTGAGGCTGAGGCCGAGGCTGAAGGCAGACTGAGGCTGAGGCTGAAGCAGGCTGAGGCTGAGGCTGAGGCAGGCTGAGGCTGAGGCTGAGGCAGGCTGATGCTGAGGCAGGCTGAGGCTGAGGCTGAGGCTGATGCAGGCTGAGGCTGAGGCAGGCTGAGGCTGAGGCCGAGGCTGAAGGCAGACTGAGGCTGAGGCTGAAGCAGGCTGAGGCTGAGGCTGAGGCAGGCTGAGGCTCAGGCTGAGGCTGAGGCAGGCTGATGCTGAGGCAGGCTGAGGCTGAGGCTGAGCCTGATGCAGGCTGAGGCTGAGGCAGGCTGAGGCTGAGGCCGAGGCCGACGGCAGACTCAGGCTGAGGCTGAAGCAGGCTGAGGATGAGGCAGAGGCAGGCTGAGGCTGAGGCTGAGGCAGGCTGATGCTGAGGCAGGCTGAGGCTGAGGCTGAGGCTGATGCAGGCTGAGGCTGAGGCAGGCTGAGGCCGAGGCCGAGGCTGAAGGCAGCCTGATGTTGAGGGTGAAGCAGGCTGAGGCTGAGGCTGAGGCAGGCTGAGGCTGAGGCAGGCTGAGGCTGAGGCTGAGGCAGGCTGAGGCTGAGGCTGTGACTGCGAGTGCCGTTGCCACTGCGATTGCCATCGCGAATGCGACTACGACTGCGAGAACAGCAGAATTCTACAACAGGATTCTCATCTGAATCTTAAAGGGAATGCTTCCAGATATGCTCCTACACATCGCTGTTAGGTTGCTTTGCCGGGATAATTTTGGTTTTTGCATGTTTTGGAATTCTCGCCTTGTCGGGCTTCCGACGGCCCCGGACAGCCCAAGACGTCCAAACGGTCGTCCCAAGGTGGCCCCAGAGTCTTCCAAGAGTGCCCCAAGGCGCCCAAGAGGCCCCCGTGAGGGCCCCAAGACGACCCAAGAGGGGACCTAGAGGCTCCCAAGAGAGTCGAGGGGGGCCCCAGGTGGTTCCCAAGTGAGCTCCAAGAGACTCCCAGGACAGCCCCACAATGGCCAAATCCAACGAAGACGCCCCAAGACGGCCCAAAGAGCACCAGGACGGTTCAAGAGGGCCCCAAGAGGGCCCAACAGGGCCCCAACAGGACCTTGATGAGGCCAAACACATTGATTTTCCGATGGTTATTTAATTGAGCGCCCCTGAGGGGGCAGACACCGCCGCCCCCTTTTTTTTGGAACCCAGAGTTTCTCTGCGGGGGTGTCCATGGCGACCCCAGGCGGTCCAGAAAGGCTTGGAGGGCGGGCTTGGATCCCAGGGCAACGAAGTAGTGCTGAGGATTCTTGCTATGGTTTAATATTCAGAATGTGTGCGTGGATAAGTGTTACGTACTCGTATTAGGGATTGTTGTCAAGAGTCCGTTTTAAGGATTATTGTTATGGATGGGCGTTCAATAAGGGCTCGTGTTACGGATTGGTGCTCAGGATTTGCGTCTCAGAATAGGGTGAGCTATCAGTGCGAATGAGCAATGTGAAGGGATCGTATTAAGGATGCGAATCCCTGAGACCGAACCTGCTACAATCCCCTCTGGGGCGTGCTCGTATTATGTGGCGTGAGGCTCAGTAAGGCTGTGGTTCGGCTGGGCTCAATGTGGACGTCCAGCTCACTGATTTTGCTCATGTGGGAGAGTTGTATGTATGGTTGTAGTCAAGGCGCCTTTGGTGAGTGCAGGCACGGCTCAAGGGGCCAACAGGGCGCGTAAGTTCCAAAGAGCTGAACTCATCAATCAGGGCAGCTCTCGGGTAGTGGTGCTGCTGCCAGGGACCGCCAGCAGGCTTTTTTTTGGGAGCGTGGGAAGTTTGGGAGGCGTGGCGGAGGAAAAGGTGGCCAGAGTGGGGGAGGGGCAGGGGTCGAATACGGCCCCAGATGGTCTCGGAAGACGTCACCAAACTGGCTTACCACAGGGCGAGAGGGGAGTCTGAGATAGCTCCTCTTCCACCTCGACGCGGAGTTTGTGGAAGGGGCCAAGATGGCCCCAGAGGGTCCAAGAAGACACGGAAGAGGGCCGAAGAAGGCCGACAGAGGGCCCCAAGAGGCTCCGGAAACGGCCCAACAGGGCACCCGAAGGTGTCGAAAACGGCGGAAGAGACTGGAACGCGATGCGGAGAGGTGAAAAGGAGCAGTCCCGCGAGTTTTCGGGGCCTCAGAAGGCTCTCGAGGGCCCCCTGGGCGCGCCTCACAGACGGCCCAGGAGGGCGCCCAAAGGGCGGCCAGACGGCCGAATTAGGTCCGGGGGACGTTGAGGACGGCCTGGGAGGCCTTGTAGAGTTTTTTCAACGTGGCCAGAGAGGCCCCAAGAGTGGCGCAAGATGCTGCAAGAGAGCTCCAAGAGGCGCAAAGAGGAGGCGGAAACGGCCAACGTCATCAAAACCGGTGAGGTTTTGAAGGTTTTTGGCTTCCTCAGTTTTTCGCCTGAGCATGCCTCGAAAATGGCTTCGGAGGGATCCGAGACGGCCTCGGAGGGCCCGAAAGAGGGGCCAAAGGAGCCCAAGAAGCTCTAAGGTTCCGAAGACTTCCCCGGAGGGCCTCCAGGGAGGTCCAAACGGCGCCCAGAGGCGTTCGGAAGTCTCTCGTGCGAAGGCCTGCTTGAGTTGAGGGCAAAATGGCCTCCAGCGGACGCTTAGTGCGCAGCCTGGACCCCCGGACTGGCGGAATGAGCAGGCCCGGGGAGGACCCCAGGAGGGGTTGCCAGGGCTCTGAGGAAAGGAGTTAGCACGAGGAGTGCGTGGGTAAGGGGACTGAGGGGGAACAAGAGTTCTTGCAGACCATGCGGCGGGGATTCCACACGCCGTGCCCGGTTGGGCGGTGGATCGCTTCGCTCACTCCGCTGGCCCATGTTGCGGACCGCGGTCGACTGGCCGAGTGGTCGTCGGCAGTGCGGAGCTGCAGGGGGCGGAAGCTGTTTTTCTGAGGCGTTGCGTTCGGCATGTCGGGGTTGAGCCAGCTCTCGTGGAGCAGCGTCTTCAAGGCGTCTTGATGAACAGGAG